TCTCTATCTCTTTCTCCTTCTGCCCCCCTCGTTGAGGTGGGACATCCATTTTCTCCTGCTTTCAGACTGGAATCTCAGGCTTTTGGAGTCAGATGAGAATTGACTCCCTGATTGGCCGGGTCCTTCAGCTCCAGAGGGCAGATCATGGACCACCTCAGGCTCCATGATGCCATGAGCCAGTTCCCATAATAATCCTCTTTCTCTGAACGTAGAGATTTATTGGTTCTGTTTCTCTGGAGCACCCTAGGACCATGGTTATTCAAACCCGAGTTCCCTGAGTGCATCCGGGTGCTGTTGGCATCCTCTTGGTCTTTGTCCTTGACCTGTCAACGATGACACCTTCCATTACTGTGCCGTAGCTGTTTAACCGTCGGCCGGGTGTTGTGTGAACCACCTTCTCCGTGCTGGGCTTCTGATTCAAGGCTGGTTCCTGACTCCTGATGGGCCTGTAGGTTCTGGGTGAGAATCAAAGAACAGCCCAACCCCAACTTCATGTTGGGGGAGCCTTGGATGCCCATTGGGAAGTTTTGCTTGGGAGCCTGAAATTCACCACGATGCCCAGGTCGATAATGCTTTAATAGAAGCTTTCAAGAGACGTTACTTCTTGCATCCTTTGAGGGTCTTACGTATCTCTTTCATCATTTGATCCTTCTGAGAAATTAGCCGTGGGGAGGAGGGTAGAGCTCAGTGGAAGACTGCGTACTTAGTATGCACAAGGTTCCATGTTCAATCCCCGGTACCTCCACCAAAAACAAACAAATTCATAATTAAAAGCCTAATTACTCTCCCTCAAAAAAAAAAAAAGCAATTAGCTGTACTAAATAAACTATCTATGTCTACTATTAAGGACTCAAAGGTCGCAAGTATGGCTTGGCTAGATTGTCTTGGTTTAAAATGATAGTCCAATATAAAACTAATTAAAATTTCCACCCAACGTTTTGCAATGTAATTTTTTTCTTGACATGATGTATAACAAACGTTTTCACTGTTCACGGTGTAATGGATTTGTACTGCAAATTACTCAGGTACCAGAAACGAATCATTTAATTTGGGATCATCAGTTTGCAGGTTACGCGATGACTCATCAAGATGGCGCTCTGCCGTGCTGTGAATGACAGCAGAGCTCTCAAGGGCACAGACGCACGTGGGTTATTTCAAGGGCACAGACGCTCCGTCTCTTCCGTTTCTAAACCACACAACAGATCTAACAGGATCAGCCGTCTGTGACCTGGAGGTGATACAAACCTGGGAGCTCAAGCTGCGATTCCTTCACCGAGCCGTGCTTTCTAAGGCAGAGAATTGACACACAGACTTTGTTCTGTGTGTGTGTTTCTCCCCAGGAAGGGAAAATCAGATTCAGGGTGAAATGCCTTAACAACATTGAAGCTGAACTTCACGGTAAACACGGTTAGCATTTAAGCGGCGCGTTATCACCCGCTCCTGCAGGATTACAACAGGAGCAGAAAGGCGTGGCAGAGTTTGCCTCACCAGTGCCTCTGGGCTATTTCTACCCAAATGACCCAGTCTTCTAAGGTTTTACTTCTATAAACCGCTGCAGGGAACAGCAGGAGCCCATGAAGTGGACTGCCCTCCCTGCTTGGAGTCTAGTGAATGTGTATCATGCATAGACATTATCAGATGGCAAGATATATATATATATTTTTTAATATATTTTTATTCAAGTAGTCAGTTTACAATGTTGAGTCAATTTCCGGTGCACAGCACAATGCTTCACTCATATAGGAACAGACATGTATTCATTTTCATATTCTTTTCCACCGTAAGTTACTACAAGATATTGAATATTCTTAGTTCCCTGTGCTGTACAGTGTAACATGTCTATCTATTTTATATATGGTAGTTGGTATCTACAAATCTCCAACTCCCAGGTTATCCCTTCCCACCCCCCACCCCCCCGGAAACCATAACTTTGCTTTCTTTGAGTCTGTTTCTGTTTCATAGCTAAGTTCATGTGTCTTTTCTGTTTGTTTAACATTCCACATACAAGTGACATCATGTGGTAAGAGACATATTTTTTGAAAACAGGAATAAGAAATGTAAATATTGACTGGTGGGCTGGAGGTTTTGCTCCGTGGTTGCTGGTAATTTCTGTGTCCTGCGGATTGATCTGGCTGTGAGCGATCAGGACCCCACAAGCAAGTCATGTGCTCCAGGCAGCGCAGGTGGGAAGGGTGTGGTCTGGAAACAGATGAGGCAGAGACCTAACATGCCAGAGATTCCAACCTGGTTGGGGAAACTGCTGCAGAAGTAAAACCTTCAATGTAATAGGATCATCTCAGCACTGCTGACCCCGGGGTTGGAGGACTCTCTGATGGGGGGGCATCCTGTGCCCCGTGGGGTGTGGAGCTGCGTCCCTGGTCTCCACCCACCACGTGCCAGGAGCAACCCCTTCCCCCAGTGGTGAACAACCAGAAATGTCCCCAGACAGTGACAAGTGTCTCCTAGGGGCAGAGTCCTCTTCATTTTCTAACCACTATCATTCAGAGATAGATAGATAGA